GAATTTCTCGAAAGCCAAGAGAATTATCAATGCACTCGTCAAGCATTCCGACAAAACGGAGTACATTATCTCCCAACTTGACCCAAACGACAGCTCTGCCGAATTCCTGGCGTGCTACAAAAAAATTGCCGTGTCTGTGGGCATCCCTACAAGCAACGACGAATGGGAAGCGCGGCGCATGGACGAAATGAGCTACCTCACGTTGTATCGGTCGTTTTCCACGTCCTCTGTGCCGCCGTGAGTTATCATACAAAAAATATATGTGTGGCGCACGCATGGTGTTTCGACGGCCTTCATGTTTGACTCTCGACGTGTCCTGCACAGTGTAACGGGTGATAAAGCAGCATGTATGGAGCAGAATTGACTCCTACCATTGTGACTTTGTCTTTCATCTCGGCCTTGGTCTCGGGCCTTCGCACGTAGCATTCGGACGTCGTATGCTATGGTTCTTTGAGAGTGATCTATCGTGGTGCAGAGGGTGGCGTACCTGGTTGCATTGTCGTGGTTGTGCCGTTCAGGTCTGTCGTGCCATCGGTCCCTTCGCGTGTGACTGCGCTACTGCTTGGCAATGGTTCATTGATAATGGCCTTTCGCGATGTCATGGGTGGCGTACCTGGTTTGATTGGTCGTTCGTGCGCTGTGGTTGACCACGACGCTTGATCAATGCTGAGTGAGCATCGTGCTGCGCTTTCGACTCCATCGTGTCGGAGTCCATGACCTCAAAACCAAAAGTACTGTCAAAACTCGATAAATATCATGTTTCAGGGGTTGCGCAAACACTTGCACAAAGGGTCGAATATCCATAAATATTTCACATGAATTGGTCAAGCCAATCGAGAGATACATCACTGGTGCCCTCGATGGTCGCGGACTGTTAACTCAATTGTCGCTGGAAAACGGCGAACTGCTATACCAAGTGTAAGCTAATGAATTCAATGTTAAATTTCCACTATTCTGTATTTCCCGCAAGGACGAACGCTTCCACAAACGCGAGTATGCCGAACTGGTTCATGTTGTGGCCCAGAAGCCCCGTCACATTCAGCCGCAGCACCTACCTCGTCACAAACTCATTGAATCATCTCCTTGGGGTGCGATGTATTTTTACCTCTTCGAAGTCGGCGGCGGATGCGACCGGTCGCGTCCGCGCCTTCCCAAAGCACTCCACGAGCGACAAGTCCAGGGCGTCGTTCAAGATGGCTACCAACGCCGCGACGCCCTTGCTAATCACCCACTTGAGCGCGGGCTCTGGCAGGATAATCGGCAGCTCGATGATGCTCGACAACTGCTTCCGCAGCGCTTCCACGTCGTCGATGCCCATGGCCTCCCGAATAAAGATAGTTGCCAATGACACCGACGTCTCGTCCTGCGCCAAGATGTCGTTCAGCTTTGTGTTGCCCATCGCGTCCGACACGATGGCTACCGTCGCATGGACGATCAGACGCTGGTCTTGCTCGGACAAGTAAGGCAAGTTCAACGTCGACTGGAAGTGCTCGATGAGGTGCGACTGCAGCAGCTTGCGTTGGGTATCAGGCACCGTGTTGGTCGTCATGATACGATCCCAATACGACTGGGGCATGAAGTTCTCCATCTCAAACACAATGCACCCCACCCATAGTTGTTACGTTAAGATTAAAGTATTGGATTAACTGTAAATGCCTGGTTTAAACTAAACACCTAAAGTTCAAAAATAAGTGGATTAAAGGTTAAGTAAAGTTGTCATTGAAGCCGACATGAGCCAGGATGTCTACATGCTTCGCTGCAACTAACAGTAAATACTTACCTGGAGGATGATCAACTTTACGATCCTCAAACGAAATGGCAGTGCATATATAGTTCATCATCACGCTAGAATCAAATCGAGTTCAGCCTGAGGAACAAAGCAACGTGCACTACTTCCTTAAAAGCCATTTTGCATCGTCTTCAATCGATTGCGCTGAGTTGCTTGGCTCCACACAAAACGGTTGCATAACTTTTAAACATATGACATTTAAATGTAAGAAAATTATTCTCCCTCCGTCCCACAATACTTGCGTAGATCAGAAAAAAGATGTACGGCTCCTTGAATAACATATCAAACACCTCAAAACTTTATGCTACTTGCATTGAACACAGTGTAGTGAGTTGTGCGAGCGACACTCGCACTAGTTTCGCCTTAACTTGCTCTGGGGTATAGGCCATCTTCCTACCTACACGACCCTTCTTTCTGCTCGAAACCGAGACTTTCATGTTGCCGGTAGCAACTCCCTGCTGAATTGCCTGAGAAAAAGACGCGGCGGATGGTAGAGTGGTGGCAGTTGTACTTTTCGGCAAGCACCTGCGCAATGCCCTTTGGCAATCTTGCGAAGGAGGTCTTACTGCTGTGGAGCAGAATCTCCCGAAGGATGGCCTCGCGGACTTCGTTCGTTTGTTGACACGCATTATGAATGTTGGTCACCAATTTATATGATTTAAAGTATGAGAACTTTGCGAGCGACTTCAGTGAAGGTTCCAGTGTATTTCCCTCGCTGACACATGAATTGACAGGACTTGGCGCGCTTGTTCATATGGACCAATGAAACACGTGAAATTCAACGAAGGGCAGACGACAGACAAGTTTGAAAATCACTTGCAAATATAATGACGAGTCATTTCCCCCCTCCCCGAGACTACGCAAGTATTTTGGGACGGAGTACAGACACGACACAAAACCGACAAAATTCGGCCCCGTGATTGGATGACCGACAAATGATTGAATTCGGATTGGTCAGTATTTTTTTGCGACAATCCGATTGGACGAGGCGGTTGTCGCAGTAGCAACATATCACTACTCCATTTAACATGTACGGCTTTCTATTGGTTGAAATACTGCCGAGCCGACATTGCACACGAAACGGTGTCGATCAGCATAAGTAAAACGGCACGAACCAGTAGGAGTACTGTTGTGGTCGGTGGCGGCGCCCCACCATGATGCATGGGGACCAATGGTGGGATCCCTTTTGTAGCCCATTCCACACAATAACGTTTGCGATTTTTAAAACGTACGAATGCGGCTAAAAGTAATGGTTGCGCTTTAGGTGTAGGTCCTGATTGAACATTACTATAGCTACGCCAACACCACCTTACCTCCAGTAGTGATTCCAATTGCCCCTCATTCAACAAACGACAATAACCACGTTCTCCAGCTCTGCATATCCACTTACTTTCGCAACGTGAACCACCGTACTAGTTAGCACACAGTGTTTACAAGCATCCCCACTGCTAGCATCTGCACAGTGGGGATGCTTATAACACTAACTGCGACCTCCCTTCAATAAGTGCCCCTTTCCACCACAACACTAAATAATCATATTTTCAATACTACAACTACTAAGATCACTTATATTGTTGCGAGCGACCTCACAGGTATCACAAAACACTCATCACACAGTCGACTGAGACGATGAGAAGTAATTACGAGCTCACAAACTTACATATTCTAAGGTGGCAAACTCGTGCACCAGTGAGTTATCAATGTAAATCTAGAAGTGCACATGTACTCCAGCGGTAGGGTTCTTTACAGTGAATGGTCACGCTCGCTACGATGTCCACGGAGTGTTTACTGTACTTCGGTATCGTTGGCGAGCAAGGAACGAGGTAAGCATGCCTGATGAGTGGCTTGTGTTGCGCAAAGTAACCAAGGTCCTCCATGTAACTTTGAACGTATCGCACTACGTCGAAGTAAAATAGTACGTGTACAGTACAGTGTACCTTTAGCCCCCGCCAACAAACAGGACTCTGTACGTCGATACATTCGAAAAAACCAAGATACTTTACTTGGTCGTTGTATTGACATGGAAGAGTCATCTGCCAATGAAAGCCAATAGGCGTCTACTTTTAACCAATCAGATAGTTGTCGGATAAATTTGTCGCAGCGGCCATTTTATCTATACATATCAATGTATGCTATAAATTATAGCTCAACTAGTCAAGATGACAATAATTGCTTGTCATCTTTCACGCTATATTTAAAGTTTTCGCCAAAATGCGTCTTTAATGTGCTGCTTCGTGACTCAGAGATCACCGATCAACGCAAGAACATGGTAGCATGTACAGCAGCATTGCTACTACGTAATAAAGCGGCATCGACGGTGTTACGATGCTTATTGCGGGATATAATCACACCCAAAGTAAGCTATATTTCAGTATTTTTGCATGTTTGAGGTCGGGCGTAGAATGTTTGCACGAGTTTTTGGCGTACGTACATGTGGTTATATTTAAGTGGTGTAGTTGCACGTGTTCCAGTCTACGTGCATCAAATTGGACGATTTGAACGTGGTATAATTTCCGGTCAAAAATAGTTGCATGTAGACAGCGCAAATAATCCAACAGCTTGCTCTGTAAGTTACTTATGGATATTCGACCCTTTGCGCAAGTGTTTGCGCAACCCCTGAAACATGATATTTATCGAGTTTTGACAGTACTTTTGGTTTTGAGGTCATGGACTCCGACACGATGGAGTCGAAAGCGCAGCACGATGCTCACTCAGCATTGATCAAGCGTCGTGGTCAACCACAGCGCACGAACGACCAAT